TGCATGGGCAGCTGTTTCATGGTGCACACTCTCCTGGAGATGACCGCCGTTCCCCGGGCATGTGTCCTGCCTGGGCACTGCTGGGCGTCTGTGTAACTGGCTGTGATGGCTTTGCGCAGAGCCAGCCGCCTTGGTGGCAAAGCTATCCACCTGACTCTGGCTTCAAGGGGATTGTTCGAAGGGTGCCTGCGCAACTCCCAGACTGTAAGACCTGGGGGGCGGGCTGGACTGCCTGTGGAGCAGAGGTTACCCTGCATGTGAGAGGGGCGTGAGCACCAACTCCCCACGTGGGACGTCCTGTCCCCCCACCTCTACCCTGTATCGACACCCTGCGCCCCGGAAGTTCCCCTTCGAGGGCCAGCCTTGGGGTTATTACTCCAGAAAGACGCTGGGGTCAGCCTTGGGGACAGCGGTGGGGCTGGCTGCTGGCCACAGGCTGTTTTCCGGAATCCACTTTCTCTGGACTTACCAGTCGGTCTTGGGGATTTGGACCCTTTTAATCTTTTGAAGGTGAAAGTCTTCGGTAATGCCTGGGAGCTCTTGTAGCTGGTGGGGTGTGGAGTGCAAAGGGCCGCAGAGAAAAAGCTGGATTTCTGGGGTTTCTGGCTTTTCTTAAAAAGCCCGATTATATGCACCTAAAGTGTCCTCTGTGGACACAGGGAGATAGCGACGCTAGACATTTGTTCCGAAGTCCCAGACTTGGGAAACCCGCCACGGTAAGGTAGGAGGACGGTGTAAGGATGCGTTCCCTCCCTGAGTGCATACCTGCTTCCGTCTCCACTTCGGGGGTGCCCATGTGACAGTCCCAGCCCCTGAGGTGACGGGGTGGATGCCACGCCGGGGAGTGGCTCCCACGGGAAATGGAAACTCCGGGGAAGACGAGACTTGGAATCGGGGTGGGACTTTGAATGATTCACTGCTCTTTTAAAAAAACAATGACAATTCTTTCTTTGATAAGTCACAGAATCACTTTCAGAACGTGGGATGATAGGGCTTCAGGGAGAGCAGAATGGCGTGCGGCTCATGCCTCCTGTCTTAAAACAATTAACGAAGGACATTCGCTCCCCAAGCCATTCCCAAAGAGCCTGCCAGTGTGGCAAGGAGTTCGGATGGACACTTTGTTCACGAACCCCTTTCAAAAGAGAAACTTTGTAACCCTGCTCTCTTAATTGTCTGATATCTAAAGGGTCTTCCCAGTTAAGATACAATTTAATCTTATATATTGAAACAGTTACATATAGACCTGCTATAATAAACTTTGTATCTGTGATTAGGTATCAATGTTTCCTTTCTCCTTCGGGTGTAGGGGTTCAGCAAGTGCACCTGTGTGAATGTCACGCTCATTCAAATGTTTCTGTATTGTTGGCGCTATGGCACTTTTTGCCCCAAATGCAGTTATCTTGGGGACACTACGTAAATGCCCACACACAGACTGCTGCTTCTGCACGGGTGGCCGTTCTCCTGGCTCCTTGTTCCGGAGACCCTGTAACCACGGCCAACACAGATTGCTTTCCATGTGCCGGGCTCCTATTGTCCTCCCAGCAACCCACCGAGAAAGGGCCACTGCTAGTGTCCCAGAGGAAGGGGACGCACACGGAGGTTAAGCTAGCCGAGGCCATGCAGCTGGTAAGGGGCACAGCTGAGACTAGAACTCAGGCTGCCTGGCTCCAGATCATGTAAACGTCAAGAGTGTGGGTTTTGGAGTTCTGCCTCTCACCTAACTTTTACCTTGGCTAAGTCACCTACCTGGCTGCCTGGGCCTCCGTGTCCCCATCTGTGAAGTGGAGATGGGTCCTGCCTCACTGGGGTCCATCAGACTGGCGCAGAGTCCCCACCTTGGGACCCGCCACAGAGCAAGCACTCATGAACGTGCATCCTTTTTTTTTTTTTTTTTTTGCTCTTCTGGGTTCTTCGCCCGTCGTCACTGCAAACCGACCAGGGTCGCAGCCCCCATGCCCTGCCCGGGGGGCGGCTGAGTTTGCTTCTGCAGGTGCGGCCAGTCCCAGCGCTGGGAGCAGGGAATCGGAAGCGTTCTGGAGTCCAGCTATTTTCCCGGCATCGGGCTGGGGCTCCCCTCTGCTGAGTGGGGGGGCATCGAGGGCCTTTCTGGCCCTCAGGGGATGGGCTCTGCTGGGCAAGGGGAGGAAGACGGCTAGAAGGGGAGACTGTCTGTGTGCTCTGTTGGTGTGGGGCCAGGGAATGGGACTGGCCCTCCTGGTGCCGTCCCGCAGCTCCGGGTCACCTCCTGCACAGGGGGGGTATCTAACGGCAGGTTTCAAGGGGTGGCCAGAGGGGTCGGGTGGGTGGGGGGACCTGAGAGGTCACAGCAAAGGGGTGGGGGCTGCCTGGGTGCCCTTGACCGCTCACTGGGGGTCCAGGATACTCTCCAAGGGCTGTCCTTTGCCTCGCTGCCCCCCTCCCAGCCCCCTGCAGAAAAGCACTGGGTGGGGGTATGCACACATCCTGCCCAGGTGATGCCCGTCCCGCCCTAGACAGACGTGTGGTCTCCTCCTGGCAGGCCCGTAGGAGTCTCCCGGGCGGCCACACTGTCCGGGGGACAGCCTGGCAGTGTGGCCAGAGCTGAGCACACACAGGCCTGCTTCTCGGGCTGCGCATCCAGGAGACGCGCCGAAATAAAGGGCCCGGATGCTCATGGCAGCCCCGGACTGCAGACCACCCAGAGAGACGCCCACGGGCAGGGGGAGGGACACCACCGTGGCACAACCACACCAGCCTCATCCACAGTGGTGAGCATGAGTGGGCGCCCACAGCGGTGTGGGCGGGTCCCAGCTGCCCTGCGGAGGGAAGGGGCCGGGCACAGAAGAAGGTCCCGCACTCGCCCCTGTTCAGAGTGATCATCGGCGAGCACCGCCGACCTAGCGCTGGGGACGCTCGCGGGGAGGTCGGGGGGGGAGCACGGCCACGTCCTGTTTCTTCATCGGGAGGGGGCTCCACGGGGTGGGGGGGTCACTCTGCGACAATCCGCCGCACGGCGCACACATGGTTTGCGTGCACGCCGCGTGTGTGCCGTAACATGTGAAAAAGCTCTAACAGACCAGCACAGGGGTTCACGGCCCAGCTGTCAGCGTCCCGAGGCCCCCCCTAGTGGGGGCGGCACCGGGGTGGGAGTCCCAGCTCCCTGACTCCGGACGGGCCACGCCACTGCTCCGGGGTCTCGGGTGCGCCCCCTCCCAACCTGCAGGTGGAGTGAGCTCAAGGGGCGGCAGAGGGCTGGCTCCGGGCACTCTGCCATGCCTTCCCCCCATCCCGGGGTCCCCTCCCGAGGCTCACCCGATCCCCCCACTGTGTGCACTCCCTGGAAGCTGCTGCCAAAGACCCCTCCCTCCTTCTCTGCCTTCATAGACCAGGGTCCCCTTGGCCATTTTCTGCCCTCAGGTTCAGCCTGGCCTTTTTCTTAGACGGGGTCAGAAGAGAAGTGTTCCCTGTGGGTATAAAGGGATGTGTGAGCGTGAGTGTGAGCGTGAGTGTGTGAGTGTGTGAGCACAGCTGCAGTCTGGCTTCTGGAGAGCCCTTTCCTCCAGCCCGCTCTCCCGTGGAGCCCAGGGTCCCAGAGGCAGGGGCACGCCTGTGCCCAGCCAGGTCCCCTAGCCGTGAGGACGCCACCTGCCCCCTCTGCCCAGGAGGGAACAGCCGGATGAGTGGACCGTTCTCCAGCGCCCCCTGCCCTCACCCCAGTATCTTTCCCGCGGAGAGCCGTAGGAAGGGTCCCCGGGACCCCTGGAGCCGGGTCCCTCCTTCCTTGTGGGTGCTGCTGCTGCTCGCTCCCGGCCGAGCAGGTTCCTCACCCCCAGGCGGGAAGTGCAGACGGGCCGGGTCTCCCAGGAGATGAAAGGAGCTGCAGATGCTGCCAGCCCTGGGGCCTGGCCGGCGGCATCCTCCCTGCAGTTGATGAGTCCCAGCCTCGCTCCTGCTCCGTTCTGGTCCAGAGGATGCAGGGTCCTCGGGAACCCCAGGTCCACCCCCAGAAACCTGCTCCTGGGCGTGTGCCCGTCTCGAGTTTGCCCTCTGTGACCTGGGCACGGGATCTCGGCCTGGGCTCACCGCCCACGTCAGGGAGACACGCTGAGCCTCTGTGCCTTAGTTCGCCTTGGAGTCCTTTCCCAAAGCTCCCCGCCGCCCCGAGACCCCCCCATCCCTCCTCCTGCTTTTAGTCCAAGATGGTGGGTGTAAACCCCGGCTGCTATGGGAAACATCTGGGTGCTTTAGAAAATACAGCTGTCCGAACCCCTCCCGCAGAGTGGGGGGCAAGGACTGCAGGCCACCGGCGCCCCGGGTGCCCACCTGCCCACGCCCACTTAGGGCGGTGGAGGTCCACCCAGGTGGAAACGGGCAGACTCTGCAGACAGGGGCCCGGAGAGCCGGTGGGGAAATGCGTGCCAGGGCCCCCCCCACCCCCCCGGGGGCCCAGGGCACCAGCGCTTTCCCAGCGCTGCCGCCGGGTGATTCGCACAGGCAGGCGCCGAGGGGCGGGGCCGGGCTGAGGTTCACTCCTAACGGCTCTGCCCGCGGTCCGCCAGCCCTCCCCGAGGTCAAGCTGCTTCTGGGAATCACATCACTTACCTCAGACGGCAGTGAACGAAGGAGGATTGTTACCCCATTTTTCAGATGGGGAAATGGAGGCTCCTCGGTTCCTTGTCCTGGCCGATCAGCACGTCGGTGGCCGGGCCTGGATTCCAACCGGGGCCCGGCCCCCCCCGGGCCCCGAGTCTGTGCAGGGCCTCTGGGATAGCAGGGGCCGGGCCCCCCGTTCCCAGCAGGGCGGGTGCGGAGTCGCTGCCCTTGTTTCCCAGGTGACCACGGGGTCTGAGCCTGGGGCGCGCCCGCCTGCCACGGGCCAGCGAGGGGTGGGCGGTTAGTGCCAGGGGCAGCCGGCGCGTCCCACCGGGGCCTCGTCCGCGCGCTTGGGCTCCGAGCCGGGAGAGGGACCCCCAGGCACTGACGCGCCCCCGGGGCCCGTGTGTGTTCTCTCCCCTCCCCAGTGGAGCACGACAAAGAGTTCTTCCACCCGCGCTACCACCACCGGGAGTTCCGGTTCGATCTGTCCAAGATCCCCGAGGGGGAAGCCGTGACGGCGGCCGAGTTCCGCATCTACAAGGACTACATCCGGGAGCGCTTCGACAACGAGACCTTTCGGATCAGCGTGTACCAGGTGCTGCAGGAGCACTCGAGCAGGTGGGTGCCCTGGGCGGGGCCGGGCTGGGGCGGGGGCGGTCGTGGCCGCGCGCCCCCAGAAGCCCCCGCCACGGTGGGCCAGGCCCCGGACTGAGTATCTCCGTTACAGAAGGCCTGTGGTGCGTGCCTCCGCTACTTAAAACCATCCGCATCCACGACTCCTGTGCGGAACGGGGATGGCCAGGCTGAGCCTGAGGTTGTGTAGCCCCGTGGGGGTATTATTCCTGGGTGGCCTGGGCCTGGAGCATTTTAGGGGCCTGGAAGTGGCGGTGGTGGGGGGGGATGAGGAAGAGGAAGGAACGTTTTTGAAGGCCTTGAAGGTCTACCTCTCTCCCATTCATCACCCTGTGCCCCAGCATGAGACGTCAGGCAGCCAGCCGGAGTGGCCGTGTGTCATGGGGTAAGGGCGTTGAAACCCCCAAACCAAAAAGAAACAGAGAACTCTCAGCCTCCCTTCCGCCAGCCAGGCCAGGGACCAAAAGCTGGCGTTGGAAGACATTCATCTCTTGAGCCTCTTTAGTTTCGTGGTCTTCCTCGAGGTACGAAGGCTAAGAAGGTGGGCTGGACCACGTAACAAGTGCTTTCGTCAGTGCCGAGAAGGACAAGGCCAAGGTCGTCCCAGCCATCGGCTGGGATTTTGGGGCATCCCAGGGACCAGACTTGCACCCCCACCTCGGCACCCTGTTCTTCGGAAATTACTGGAAGGGGGGGTGGGCTTCTCCTGATGGGGGGGTGCTCTAGCGTCTTCAGTCGGGAGGGGGACCCGTTACCCCAGCAGGGCGGTGGGGACCGTTAGCACCTTGTCTGCCGGCTGCCGCCAGGTTGGGGGTCGCCTTAAATACTGAGAGAACCACACCTGTCTCGGGTGTTTCCGAGGTCTTGCGTGTGCTGGCTCGTTCCACGTCCACGCAGCCCTTAGGGCGGACCCCGCAGAGGTGATGCTGACAGGGGCTGACGGCCGCCCGTGGGGCTGTGACGACTGACAGTCCCAGCAGCCGCCGCGGAGAAGGCTTGCTCCCGCCCGACCCCCCGTGCTCACCCACAGGTCTCGCGTTCAACCGTTCTGACCTTTGTGTCAGTCTGACGGGTGACAAATGGGACCTCACTGGATGAACCTGGCGTTTTGGAGCAGCCCCCTGTGGTACTGGAACCTGGGTGTGGGTGCAGGGGAGGCGGCAGTTGCCCCCGAATTTTACTAAAATGCTCAGGTGCCCCACTTACCAGCGGGGCGGGGGGTGCCATATGTGTTCCCTGTGCTCTGACAAACCTCCAGGGCCTCTTGGACCAGAACCTGTGTCTGACCTTTCTCATGAGGGCAGATTAATGGGGGGGGGGCAAACCCGGTGCCCAAAGCTGTTCGTCGGTAGCACGTGGGCAAACCCAGAGCCCCCCTCACTCCCGGGCCCCGGCAGGCTCCCACACCTGCCTCTGAAACTCTACCAGGGGGCTTGCCCTCAGGAGCGTGGCCGCCCCGACTGGGGTCGGCCGAACAGACCTGGAAGGGCGGGCTGGTGTCACCTGTGCCGCTCCTCCTGCAAGCTCTCCAGGCGGCCAAGGGTTCCCCTTCCTGGCCGGTGGTCGCTGGTCGGTGGGGCGCTGGGGTCAGCCCAGGTGTGGCTGGCACTGGCCCCTCGTGCCGTGAGTGGGCGCCTGTGCTTCCGGACTGCCCGGGTCCTCGGCACTGCTCTGGGTGGGAGGGGCGCCAAGCCCACAGTGCCCACGGCCCCTGGGCCCACCCACTCTGGCCCTCGCACTGGGAAGAGTGCCAGAGCCCCCGAGGTGGGCAGGATGGAGGGCAGAGGCCACTGCCTGTGGAGGGAAGCATGGCAGACCTGTGGGTTGTCGATGCAGCAGCCACTGAGCCCTCCGTGCCTGCTGGGAGGCCAAGTCCATTGTCAGCCATGGTTTGAGCACCTGCTGCATACCGTGCACCTCGGAGCCAGTCCGGGCCCTCCAGGGGTTCACGTCCAAGGCCAGGAAGTGACGTGATGGGGGCAGAGTATGGAGTGGGGGGTGCAGGGAGAGGCAGTGCGGGGGATGGGGAGATGGGGCTGCTCCCTGTGGATTTCTAAATTTCCCTTCTCTCGTGAAAGAAGGAAGCAAGCCCCTCATTCTGCAGCAGATAAAACATTGCATTACAAAAAAAAACAAAAAACAAAAAACAAAAAACAATTAGCCCTGGCTGGCGTAGCTCAGTGGATTGAGCGCGGGCTGCGAACCAAAGTGTCGCAGGTTCAATTCCCAGTCAGGGCACATGCCTGGGTTGCAGGCCACGGCCCCCAGCAACAGCACATTGATGTTTCTCTCTCTCTCTCTCTCTCTCTCTTTCTCCCTCCCTTCCCTCTCTAAAAATAAATTAAAAAAACAATTAGTGTTTTTCCATAGTGGGTTGTTTTGTTTTTTATTCCAGAAGTAAGACCATCCGACCAGGTAGTTCCCCAGGTGGCATAGCCCAGCCCGTAAGAGTGTGGGCGTGAGTCCCAACACTGCGCAGTGCGGTCTTGGGAAGCCGTGGCCCCTCGGAGCCTCGGTTTGCTCCTCTCTGCGGCGGGGAGGGTGACTGCATCCACCCCCCAGGGCTGTGGTGAGGATGAAGCAGGTCAACATCCTCATAATGTAATAACTGCTCGGTAAAGTTACACTAATATTCATCACTATTGTCATCATCACCACCATCATCGCCATCATCATCATCACCATCATCACCACCATCACCACCATCATCACCACCATCACCACTATCATCATCATCACCATCATCACCACCTTTACCACCGTCACTGCCATCACCATCACCACCATCATCACCACCATCACCACCACCACCGTCACTGCCATCACCATCACCATCATCACCACCATCACCACCACTATCGTCACTGCCATCACCATCACCACCATCATCACCACCATCACTATCACCACCATCACCAACATCATCACCATCATCATCACCACCATCACCATCACCACCATCACCATCACCACCACCACCATCACCACCACCATCATCACTGCCATCATCCCAGGAACGCAGAGACCTCCTTAGGCGCGTGGAGAGCTGTGGCCCTGCCTTCCCCCTCTGTGCTAACCCTCCGTGGGGACAAAGGCCTGGGTTTGTGTGGAGGTGGCACCCTGGTCTGCGCTTCCTCAGCCTCGTAAGCCGAAGGGCCTGTGGCTGATCTGGTGATCCCCAGGGAGGAGCCAGGACCCTGCCCGCCGGCCACCCTGCTGTGTGGCCTGCTCGCCACGGCTGCCCGGCTGTGCGGAGCTGTGACATCTGGCTCTCCGGCGAGCCGCTGCCGGAGCTCCAGGAAAGCCCTGGGGTGCCGGGGATTAGCTGGCGTGGGTTGGCCTCGGCATCTCTCCCCTTGTGACAGCCACTTTCCACCGAGGCCTCTTGATCTCTCGGAATCCAGATCAAATTCCAACAATGAGCCCAGCTGGAGGCCTTCCACGGCCCTTGGGCCCGGCGTGCAGCAGGGCCCCGACAGCTGGGAAGGCGTGCTGGGACCGCCCTTGGCGGGCTGCAGGCCGGGGAGGGGGAGGCTGAGAGGCAGGTCTGAGGTCCGTGCCCTCGGCTCCAGGGGCCTTGTGGGGGGGGGCACTGGAGGCCAAGGCATCCGAGTGTTGCCCTCCTTTTCTGGTCCCCACGCCCAGGACCTGGCCAGCCGGGGCCCCGTGTCTTGGAGCTGGGCTCACACGCCCGTCTGTCCCCATTGGCTTAAACTTCAGTTTCAGCTGGAGGTGAGGGCGTTTGGGGGCCGGGGTCGCAGGCGTTAACAACTGGTTTCATTCCTGGAAACTAGACTCTGCACTTCCCCTCCCCCTCCCCCCCCCCGCCCCCCGCCGCGCCCCGCCCTGCCCCGCCCCGTCTGTGGGGGATCTGGTTTCACTGGGAGATACACCCTGGGGGCCGGCACAGGCCTTCAGGGCAGCAGCACCCTCCCACGGGGCGGTGGCCACTGCCCAGGTCTAGAGAATGTGGGCAGCTGGATGAAAAATGCCCCGTGGTCCGTCCCAGGGACTTTGGCTGCCAGGAGGGTGACCTCAGAGTGGTCTCTGGGGCCAAGATGGGATCGGTGGCAGCCTGAGTCACTGTGAGGACGAGGGAGCTGTCCCTGCAATGGGCTGGGGAGGGGCCCGGTGCTGGCTTGCTGGCTGCCTGCAGCCCCCAAGGTGGCCCCCAGGCCGTGAGGAGCGAGGAGGCAAGCCCTGGGCCCCTCTGCTGCCCAGGGTTGGGGGGGCTCTGCCACGGGCAGCCCCCCGCAGCCCAGCCCAGGCTCTTAGCCCCCCCCCCCACAAGGAAGAGGCGTCCCTGGGCTCCTCAGCAGTGCCCCCCCACCCCCGGGAGCCCAGTCTGGGGACATCCTTGCCACCTAACAGCTCAGCTCAGCCGTGTGGTTCTGGGAGATCGGGGGGGAAATGTGGTTTGGGGTCAGCTGGCTGGGGTGGCGCCTGAGCTTCGGCCTTTCTGCCCCCATCCCCACCCCAGGGATGTCCTCAGGGTTAGGTCTGAGGGAACAGGGAGAAGGTTCAGGGGTGCGGAGTGTGGAGGACGGTCGCTGGGAGGGTGTTGCCGACCCTGCAGTGTCCCCCAGGGCGGCCCCAGGGTGGCAGGGCCTCACACCCCTGCCTGCATCCCTCGAGCTACGCAGGGCGAAGGGCTTGGGAGCAAGACTCTGAGTTTTTCTGGCTTCTGGCCCCGTGGGCTCGTCTGGGCGGAGGGACAAGGTCACCCTTCAGAGCACCCCCACTGCCTGCCCGCTCCGGGCTCCGGGCTCGTCCTCACGTGTCGTGCTGGACACTGCACCGTGGCTGTGCCCCTTGTCAGCGACCCTACGGAGACCTGTCCTCCCACTCCCAGGTGTGGCGGCTGCTCCGGGAGGGGAAGTAACTCAGCGGAGGTCGCGCAGCTAGCGAGGGGCAGCGTCGGGCCGGGAGCTCGGGTCCCGGATTCCCGGCTCCTGTTCTCTCCCCGCTGGTGCCGGTTTCCTCCC